AGGGCCTGGTTTCTTTCTGCCTCTTGATTCTCCCTTCAGTGGTATAGCTTTGAGAGTGGTTCCTTGTCATGGCCCCAAGATGCCCACCATCAAGACCCAGGATTAGTTACTTCCTCTTTCACATCCAAAGGAGTCCTGGTGACACAGTAGTAAGTGCTCAGCTGCTAACCAAAAAGTTGGCAGTTTAAACCCACCAGCCACTCCATGGGAGAAAGATGTGGCATTCTGCTTTTGTAAAGATTTACAGCCTTGGAAACTCTATGGCGGCAGCTCTACTCTGTTCTACAGGGTCACTATAAATTGGAATTGACTCTATAGCAGTGGGTTTTTTAGGGGGTCTTTCGCAACCAGCAAGGGGGTAAAATGAGTCTCTTTACCCAGCATTCCCAGCACTGTCTCAGATCACATGTTTATACCTGAACCAATCACTGTAGCTAGAGAAACAGAATGTTCTAATTGGCTTAGATTAGGTCATGTGTTCCAATTTTCACCTTAGTGAGTTATTTGCCCCAGATCATATAAATTCCCCAAACAGAAATCAGGGGCTGCTGAGAAAGGAAAAAGGTGAATGGATGCTGGAGCTGCAGCCAACAGCACCCCCCACATCCCTCATTTCATGCACTGGAAACGGAGACTACAATGGGAAAAGTCCTTCTCCAAGATCGCGGGACAGAGATGGGCCACAACCCTCTTGGAAGACCCTGCCTTTTCCACTCCATCCCACTTCCTATCTTGTTCAGTCCAACTCACCCAATACCAAGTGGTGGTCAATGTGAGGCTAGACCAATCAATTTCTCCCCAAACTTAAATGAACCACTTTGGAGCATCCCAATTCAAACCTCTCCAAAGAGTGTCCAGTTAAGAGAAAACAAACTTGTGGCCCCAAAATTCTTGCAGGCACAAGGATCAACCTCAGAATTTCCTAGTTCCTTCTTGAGGTCCCCTAAGATCCAAGTAGCTCCTACTCCTTTTAAGGGAAAAAACGCATTATGGTGTGCAAACATTATCGCATATTCATACACTCCAAATCTAATTTTAGCAAGAGACTTCATTCTAAGATGCTCACATAATTAAGCAGCTTTCTTCTCAGGGTTTGGAAGCCTGTCCATTCTTCTCTCTCATTTACACATCACTGGGATTATCAGTGTGCTTTCGTTTTTTTAAATTACATATTTTGAGTTTACCAAATTGATCCACAACAGGAGATGAAATCCATGAAAATTGCATGTTTTAACACAGGTTTGTGTTAACTCCATAGCCTTGCGATTAGAGCTGGAATCTGTAGACAGCCAGGGTTTCACTGTTCTGTCCTAATTGGCTCCTGATGCATTTGCTACACTTCTCTCCTAAATACAAACCAGCTTTTCCTCCTTGGCTGGTTGGGACAATATCCTCTTTACTGAGGGCTACAGATGGAACCTAAGTTGGAGAGAGACAAACGCACTTGCCTGAAAGGACAGTTAGATCTCCTTTCTGCAGTTATGATGAGACAGCCTACAGAGGCAGACCTGGAAGGAAGGCTGCTGAAGACCAGCAACACCAGGTAGGGCATCTGCATTTTCTTGGACCATTCAACATCTGGAAGCCAAGTGTTAGATGAGGAGAGACCTCACCTCACTGTGACCTGGATGGAATCTGACCCCATCTTTCTCCTCATCTGCATGTCTCACTAAGGTGCACAGAAGACTACAAGGTCATTTGAGTGGGTAGCATTCCACCTGGAAGGAGATGAGGACGTTGGGTACCTGGTGGCAGTGACTGTATCGACCTATGCATGAGGAGGAAGAGCCTGGTGCTGTTGCCTTTCCCAGACTCCTGTGGTGGCAGGGGAAGTCCCAGAGGTCACACCCAGGCTGGCGTCCTGGCTGGTTCACCAGCCATGCCTTTCCATCCTCCATGGCTTGAGTCTTCTCCTCTGAAGATCATCCAATGGTCCAGAGAGCTAAGGCCAGAGCTAGGAAGCCAATATCAGGAGGAAGCCAGGTTCCCAATTTCCCATCATCCTCGTGCCCACTGTCTCTTTTGAGACTAGGATTTGCTCTGTGATGTAGGTGTCATTGTTACCCACACCTTCCAAGGCACTATGGGGATTCCTGGGTAGGTCTCAACTGCCTTTACCACTCAGGAGGAGCCTCATCAGCAGCCCCTGCAAACTTGACCATGGAGCTGTCTTGAACCAGTAAACATTTACTGAGACCTTGGTGTTTACACCCTTGAGCTTAGAGACTGTGGGAGGGTCAAGAACTGCCTCAACCTCAGTAAAGTTTTGGGGAGATCTCAATGGAAAGACTTGGAGGGCCCCAGGGCACAGATGCTCAAACTCTCCCATGACAAATGGAAGGCGAGGGGAGGCTCTGCTCTGAGGAGGGGCAGCTCCAGTGAGCCCCACCCCCAGGGGTGCTCTGGGCCAGGGAGCAGAGGATGAGGGGGTATCTGATGCCAGGGCCTCCAAACCTTTTGTTCCATCTTCTCCCTACACAGCTTGGCTCAGGCTGATGGGTCTCCCAGATGATGGTCCTCTAAGGGCAGGACTGAGGGCCCAGCCAGAATTACCCCAGGCTTGAAGAAGCTGCAGAGGCTCTGGGGCTGCCCACCTTCTTCACCTCAGGGGTCAGCGTGCAACTTGAGCTCCTCAGCAATCCTTCCGTGTCTTGCACACCCTGAGACTGCTCCCAAGTCATATCCCTGCTCTGCAGGCGTGAGCCTCTTGGTCTCCACAGCCTCATTTCTGAGCCCTAGACACATAGGGAAGGGTAACCCAAGACGGTACTCAGCATTAGAACCCCTTCACCCCACAGGCCTGAGAGTTGGGGTGAGCACTAAGTGGCTGGAAGAACAGAATTCTTTCCTCAGTCTCCACCTCAATCCTCACCTACCCACTCCTTTCTTCCCACTGTTCAGAAATGGGTGCTCTTGTCCCACACTCAACTCTTCACCCATTTCTCGAACACACCAGGGTTTCCAGGCCTCTGAGCCTTTGCAGATGCTGTTTTCTCTGTCTCAACTCTCTGTCCCCTTTCCTTTGCTGGGATAATTTCTATACAATCTTTGAGACCAGTTCTTAGTCACTATGATGCACTCTCTGCAGAGCCTGAGTGGACTGTCTTGACACTCACTCCTAAGCCTGGATGGTGCATCCTCTTCTGCTGCAGGGATGTCCACACCTGTTTTTAACAAAGCCCCCCACACACACACCCCTACTGGACTGTGAGCTCCAGTGGGGAGAGATTTTTGAGTTCATCCTTCCCTGTGGCCAACACATAGCATCAGCATCAGCATCAGTTAGTGGCCTTGCCCTTTCGTCAAGGAAATGGATGAACAAGCAGGAAAGATGTCAGCCTTGCAGAGAGGCAGAGGGTGTGGCAAAGAAACCAAGTGTCAAAGCAGCAATGACAGGAAGGACTGGAGTGACCCTGAGAGCTGCTGTCATGGCCTGGCCTCTGGAGGAGGTATGGCTGGGTAGTGCAGCCCCATTCCTCCTAAGCTGCCATCTGGCTCCAGCTCTTCCCAGGCCCAGCATGGGAACCCACAGAGAGCAGGGGCTTCTTGATATGTGAAGGGTGCAACTAGGTATAGTGATCCCTGAAACCATCCCTCTATTGTCTTCCATGCCCACCCCAAGCTTCCTTCTGCTGGTGTTATGAGCCCCTTGAGTTCAGGGACTCCCTTGGAAGTCCAGCCCCTGTACTACTGTTCCTCTTATTCTACTTCTAGGGCATGGTGTGAACCCAGTTTTCCTGGGGATGATCAGAGAAGAAGCCTGGCAAAGAAGCCCACTCTGAGGAGTGCTGGTATAGGGCAAGTTTTGTTGTTGTTATGTGCCGTTGAGTCGGCCCCAACTCATAGCGACCCCTCCTTGGGTTTCCAAGGCAGTATCACTATGGAAGTAGATTACCCAACCTTCCTTCTGAGTAGGGCAAGTAGGGAGGTTTTTGAGGGTGCACAGAATATGTAACAGCCAGGCCCGAGGTCGAGGGGTGTGTGGAGGGGGGACCCACCATGCATACAGCACCACGAGCCCATCCACAGAGAAGGTGGAGGCAGGACTGTAGTGGTCACACTGCACACATTTATGGATGTCAAACACACAGGCGGGACCACCTGGCCTGGTAGTAACAGTAGCAACAGTCTCTGACCCCACCTCCAGCCCAACAGTCCTTGTGGCTCAAGTGCCACCCAACCCAGTGCCCCTGAGTCCAGGAGTCGAGCTCCCTCACAGCAGAGGGCCCTGAAGAGAAAGTTTGTGCTGGCCTGGAAACAGGACACTTGGGGCCCCGGAGCAAGAGTCTGAGGCATGTGTGTGTCTGTATGTGAGATAGCCAGCCTCTGCAAACACGTAGCCTGGCATCTGCGTGTACATGTCTGTGTGTGGTTGCATCTGTGAGTATGAGTGTCCTGGAGCACCCTGAGTAAATGGCTTAGCTGCACCCACGTGGGCATTGTGAGCATGGGGCAGTGTGTCCAACTGTGTCTAGGAGCATGTGTGTATGTTTGTGTGTCTGCTGTGTGAAGCGTGTCTGTGTGTATGGAGCTGAGGGCTGCGTCAGGTCTCCTGGGCATGAGGCAGCATCTGACCGTGCAGACGTCGCAGTGTCTCCCCATGAGGCCACAGGCCAGGCTCCAAGTGCATGTGCAGTTGGCACTGTGACCATGTCCTGGCAGGGGTAGGGGTAGGGACCTATCATCTGGGCACATACTCTCTGGGCAGCCCGGCCCAGTTGTGGTCACGCAGGGCCTTGTCCACTGTTCGGATGTAGCCATTGATCAGGTCCTTCATCTCTGGTGTGAAGGGCTCGGGGTCATGAGGGCGCCGCCCCCGTCGCCGGAAGCTGCCCTCCTTGTTGTTCTCCACACAAAGCAGCCGCTCCTCACTCACAGACACGTTGAGGAAGGCCACCATCTCCCGAAGCGTGGGCACCAGGCTGCGTCGTAGCTCCTCATAGTGTACCACCAGCAGCCGCTTCCCATACTTAAGCCAGTCCAGCACATGTGAGGACCACCATGACGCATAGCTGTTGACGAAATCTGGCCACTCTGGGGTGAGAAGAGAGGCAATGGAGGTCAGGGGCAGCCTTCTTGGCCGGCTCAGGAGAGGGGAGCAGCCAGGATTCCCCACTGCCCGCTGCCCAGGACCACCATGCCTGAAATGCCCCGCAGAGGAAGACCCTTTGGCTGAGTGTGAGTGGAGGGTTAATACCAGGCTGGGCTCTGCAGAGACCTGGGTCTGCCTAGAAGATAGTGACCTTGAGTCTACCGTGAGTGTACGGCTCAAGCTAAGGCAAATGTGGAATGCCAGGTGTCAAGAAGTGGTTCTCTCTCCTCTGGACTACGAAATCTTTGAGTCATGGGTCAAAACCTGGGCTGAACAAGGATATCTATGGTGGGTGTTGGGCCTCTGTGACACAGACACAACAATATTAAAGATTAGAGGGAGACCAAGGCAGTGGATTTTCTGTCAAGATGAATCATATACACTTTCGATCTTGAACTTGGCAACTATGCACATCCAATGTGGGTGATGGAGGTCTGAGAAGTGAGTATGTAGGTAGCTGTTGAGCTTCCTGCTGAGCTGAAGACACTGAGCAAGCTCTATTTGCTGTCCCTTCTTTAAAGCCATCCCTGGGTGGTGCAAATGGTTAGTGTGCTCATTGCTAACTGAAAGGTTGGAGGTTCAAGTCCATCCAGAGATGCTCAGAAGAAACTTGGTGATCCAGTTCTGAAAAATCAGTCACTGTAAACCCTATGGAGGGAGGGAGTCACTGGGCCTGTGGGCTTGGGACCATGGTCGCAGGGGACATCAAGCAAAACTGGTATAACATACTACACAAAAACATCATTGTACATTCTACTTCAGTGAGTAGCAACTGGGATCTTAAAAGCTTGTGAGCGGTCATCTGAAATGCAATTTTTGGTCTCTCCTTGTCTGGAGCAAAAAGAGTGAAGAAAATTAAAGATGCATGGAAATAATTATTCCAAGGGACCAATGGACCATGGGAATGTCAGCCTATATGACCTTGAGACCAGAAGAACTAAATAGTACCTGGCTACCAATGCCAATCACTCCAAAAGGAATCAAAATGGGAGAACCTGGATAGAGTGGGAGAAAAACTGTGGAACAAAATTCAAAAGTATATAAAGGACCAGAATTACTGATCAGAACGAGACTGGTGAAACCCCCAAGGCTCCTCATTGCCTTCAGGACTAGAATTAGACTCAATCCTGTAGCTCAACTTTCAGCCAAATAACAGACAAGCCTATATGCTGAACAACTACACCAGGGAGATGTCCTCCTTAGAACAATCAACCATGGGAGATTAGAAGGGCAGCATTTGCACAGGGAGAAAGCTCGACAGACAGGAATGCACAGGTAGGAAGGACACACAGAAGGGGTGGGAGCTGAGCTGTTACACTGCAAGGATTGTAAGCAGTGTCATGAAACAAAATGTTTATGAACTGTTGAATGTAGAACAAATCACAATAAAAAGTTAGGGGAGAGAAAGAAAAGAAAACTCTATGGTGGGCAGTTCTACTCTGACATCACAGGATCACTTGAAAACAACTTGATTTTATATTTCTTTAAGTTAAATGCTTGCTTTGGGTAGTACACTCCCTTAAGAAGTTGGAAACAGAAATACCAAAGGATCCAGAGATCTCACCTCTACGTATATATCCTAGAGAAATAAGAGCATGACATGAACAAATATATGCACACTTGTATTTAAGGCAGTATTCACAACAGCAAAAAAGATGGAAACAACCTAAGTGCCCATCATCAGGTAAATGAATGAACAAACTATGGTACATAAACACAAGGGAATACTACACAATGTCAAAGAATTAATGAAAACTGTGTGAAACACCTCATAATATGGATGAACGTGGAGGACATTATGCTGAGTTAAATAAGTCAATCACAAAAGGACAAATACTGCATGAGACTACTACTATAAAAAGTCAAGAAAAAGTTTACACAAACATTCCTTGATGGTTACCAGGGATGGGTGAGGAAAGGTAGGTAAATCGCTAACTAGAGAGTACCAAAAAAAAACAAAAAACAAAAAAAACCTCATTGTTATAGAGTCGATTCTGACTCCAAGTGACCCCCACTGGCTTTCCAAGGCTGTAAATCTTTATGGAAGTAGACTGCTTCATCTTTCTTAAATGGAGCAGCTGGTAGGTTCAAACCACCAACCTTTTGGTTAGCAGCCAAATGCCTTAAAAGCACTATGCCACCAGAATTTGAGAGTAGACACGTATTAACTTGGGTGAAGGGAAAGGCAATACACAGTAAGGGGAAGGTCAGCACAATATGACCAGGGCCAGAGGAAAACACCGGGAGGTGCACGAGGGTAAAGACTACAAAGGTAACTACTGTTAGACACAAACTCCTGCACTAACAGTAATAACCAACATGATCCACAAGGAGATACGCAGGTAGACATGCAAGCTGAAAAGACGTGGGCGGACAAATGGGAAAACACCCACAAGTACACATAGGTTTGGCTGAGGATATTTCTACATATATGTTTGTATGTGCTGCAAATATAACCAAGGATATTGTAGAGAACAAACATGCTATGAGTTCAATCCAAGTTACAGTGACTCTATAGGACAGAGTAGAACCACCCCATAGGGTTTCCAAGGCTGTAAATCCTTATGGAAGCTGACTGTCTCATGTTTTTCCTATGGAGTGGTTAGTGTGTAAACCGCTGACCTTTTGGTTAGCAGCCAAATGCTTTAACCACTGCTCTACCAGAGCTCCTACTCAGAACATAGGGGCAAAGTTCTGAAAACTTCCTGTTGTTGTCAAGTGCTATTGAGTCAGCTCTGACTCACAGTGACGCTACGTACAACAGAATGAAACACTGTCTGGTCCTGCACCATCCTCATAATCCTTGCTATGCTTGAGCCCATTGTTGCAGCCACAGTGTGAATAATGTTCGCAGCTATTTCTTCTCATTTTGAGTTGTGCCTCACTAGCAAATGAAGGTCTCAAAAAGCTTTACTCCATCCATGTCATTAAGGTCGACTCTACTTTGAGGAGGCAGCTCATGCCCAGTCTTATTACTTGGAGTGCCTTCCACCCCAAGGGGCTCATCTTCCAGCACTGTCTCAGACAACGCTTCACTGCTATTCATAAAGTTTTCATAAAGAAAACTTCTTAGCCATAACCAAACACTTGAGGGAATGAGTCACTGAGCTTGGAGACCTGGGGCCACAATCTCGGGGGACATCTAGGTCAACTGGCATAACATAGTCCATAAAGACATTGTTCTACGTACTACTTTGGTTACGTAGTGACTGTGGTCTTAAAAGCTTGCAAATGACCATCTAAGATGCAATTATTGGTCTCTCCCTGTCCAGAGCAAAGAAAAATGAAGAAAATCAAAGACTCAAAGAAACAATTAGTCTAAAGGATTAATAAACCACGTGAACCACAACCTCCATTACCCTGAGACCAGAAGAACTAGATGATGCCTGGTTCAACTACTCACCGCCCTCATCAGGATCATAATAGAAGGTCCCGGACAGAGAGGGAGGAAAAAAATGGAGAACCAAAATCAAATCATAAAAAAGACCAGACTTCCTGGTCTGATAGACATTGGTGGAACCCCCCAGACTATGATGGCCCTAAGACACTCTTCAAGCCTGCAGCTGAACCCACCTCCAGGATCAACAGCCAAATAACAGGCATGCCTATAAAGAGAACAGTAACACCAAGGAGGAATGTACTTCTCAGTATAAGCAACCGTATGTGACCAAAAGGGCAGCATTTGCCAAAAACAAAGCTTAGAAGGCAGGAAATGGCAGGAAAGAAGGATGAATGGGAACCCAGGAAGGAAGCGGGAAGGGCGGTTGGGGGGCAACCAATGTCATGAAACAAAATGTAAATGTATTCAAACTCCTGAATGGAAAATTAATTTGCTCAGTGAAATTTCACCTAAACTACAATAGAATAAATGTAAATAAAGCCAAGTGAATATGGTGCTTGATTACTGCTCATTGTACCTTGTGCCTTTGACTGCCAGTTGGAACCAATGACACTGCCAGGCCTAGGGACACATAATGAAGCCACAGACAAAGGCAGCCTGAAGCCTTTGCAGATGGTCTACTCCATGGCATTTCTTATCCAGCAGACTAAGAACTTTTTTTTCGGGGTAGAGGTGATCGTCCTTGAACTTTGCCCATGAAAAATGAAAGAGGTCCTTTGGGGAAAGGCCCATAACCACCTTCACTCCCAGAGTAGCAAATAGGTCAAAAGTCATCCTAACAAAAACAGTTTCCATAATTGGACTACTGATATACCTCAAGTACAATGGGAGGCATTTATTTTCTCTAATCTTTACCATGAGCCTATGGGATAGTGTTACGGATCAAACAGTGGGTTCCCAAAACATGTGGGATGTAATACACCTGCGGATGTGATCTCATTGGGGAATAGGGTTTTCCTTGTTATGTTAATGAGGCCATATCAGTGCAGGATGTGTTTTAAGCCAATCACATCTGAGATATAAAAGTATATTAGGCACTGAAGGAGGGAAACAAAAATGGGGGGAAGATTGATGCCATGTGGAGAACTCCAGTGAACACTGAGAAGAGCACCATTGGAGATGAGACAAGGGTCATCCCAGAGCGGACAAAGAGCCTTCCCCTACAGCTAGTGCCCTGAATATGGACTTTTAGCCTCCTGAACTGTGAGAAAATAAATGTCTGTTCATTGAAACCATCCACCTGTGGTGTTTGTTACAGCAGCATTAAGAAACTAAGACAAACAGGGACTGTCGTTTTCCTTGCTTTTTTTAAAATGAGAAAACAGGTTCTGGAAGAAGAGGTGTACACCTTGCTCAGGGTCATGTGGCTCCTATGAGGCAGAGGAGACAACAGAGCACAGCTCTGCCTAATGGAGGTAAGCTACTTCCAAGATCCCTGCATTCCTAATGGGTTTACTGAGCATTCTCTGATTAGAGGATTAGGCAAAGCGGACAGGAGATGTCTATGTGAGGCTGGTCTAGGCTGAGGGTGAGGGGGGAAGTAGGGGCCTGAGAAGCTAGCTGAGGACACCAATCTGCTTCTGCTGGTTCAGAACAAGAGGAGAGAAGAACAGGCCTGCCTGGTCAGAAGGCTTCCATGCAGTCTCCGCTCCCCACGCTACCTGCCTGGACTGATTCATTTATTTCTGACTGATTTCATTTTCACACCACGTGTCACACTGTCTTTCATGTGACTGAGAGTGTCTGCAGGGCTAAGACCATGACTTCTTTAGCCAGGGGTCCTCTGTGCCCTGCCCAATGCCTCACACACAGTAGAACTTCAGTCACTGGGTATCAACAGACTGACTAAAAGATACAGTTTCAGTGAGGAACACCTGGAGTAGGAAATCTGTGAGAGTCCAGGCTCAGCCAGATGGCACCCAGGCCACTGAGGACAAGTCATGAGGTTGTGCTCTCTGTGCTGCTACTTTTCTCATCTGTAGAGCAGGTGTGATGACAATTACCCAGTGGGACACTGCAGTCAGTTAGAAGCAATGTCACCAGAACCAGTTGCCATCAAGTTGACTCTGTCTCATGGCAAACCCATGTGTATCAGAATAGAACTGTGCTCCGTAGGGTTTTAGACACCTGAGTTTTTGGAAGTAAATTACCAGGCCTTTGTTTTGAGGAACGTCTGGGTGACTAGGACCTCCAACCTTTCGGTAAGCAGCTGAGCACATTAACCACTGCACCACCCAGCAACTCCAAGAAGCAGTTTAGGTGGGAACTAACACACTGAGTGCCAGCCAAGGACTGGGCATGCTTGTAATCTCATGGACCCAGATGCCCCCGTGAGGTACAGGTTACTGTTCCACCAGGCTTACTGCTTCATTCTATGAATGAGCAACCTGGTCCAGGAGGCAAATCAGGGTTTAAACCCAGGCCCATCAGGGTCCAAAGCCTATGCTCTTCCCACAGCTCCATGTGAACCTCTGGGTGTGAGCAGCGATGGAAAAGGGGTGTAGATCATCTTATCCTGTGGGAACAGAGAAGATTCCATGTAAAACACTGTGCTCTCTGAACCTGGGCAAGTGTGGAAGGGACAGGGAGGAGGTAAGCTACAATGCCACACAGTGACTATGTGGATGGATGGGTAGAGCCTGCCCATTAGGGGCCCAGGGGCCCAGGATGGGAACACAGTGAGCCTCAGTGACAGCAGGTCCCCAGGTAGATGGGTGAGTGCCTGCATGAGTGGACTGGCCTTGTATCCACATGGCATCTCCCTCTTGCACTGATGAGACCTCCGCCCCACAAACCCTCCCCTACTTACCTTTGCTTTTCCAGTTGCGGTCAGCTGCGTAGCCCAGGTGCCCAGCACACTTCCTATTGAATTCAGCGACCAGGGACCTGTAGGGGTTCCGGATGAGCAGGATGGCGGAGTCAAACATCTCAATCTCCCTCCTGCCGCTCTCATGGGTCTTCACGCAGATGGTGCGCCGGCTCCGCCAGTGGTCCTTCTCACCCTTGAACCCTGCCCATGAGAAATGAGAGGGCCCTTTGGAGGAAGGTGCTGGGCATCTCTAAGACTTTGAGGCAGTATTATCCCATTTCTTACTCCCAGATCTTCCAACCAACAGGCCATTTAGCCATATGTAGACCAAAACGGATAGCTATTTGAATTAAGTAAAGACCTTCTAGGTGAATAAGGTAGGTAGTTATAGACTGTGCATGAGTTCCTAGAAGATTATGCCAGAGTGGACCATGAACTTTGTCTGGACACTTTTGCCCTCACCTGCAAGTGTCCACAACACTCAAAAGTCTCCAAGAAGATGGGGTCAGGTTATATGGACAACCTTGGCTTTTTCCCGATCAGACCAAAGCTGTTGTGAGTGATTCCAGAGCCCACTACCAAGCTCAGAAGTTTCCATTTCTATTTTTCTATAGGATGTTCCAGATTTTCCTAAATCAGACACTAGTTAAGAAACCCCGAGAAACTGTTTCAAATTTCAAATGCAAAAGCTGAGAAACATATTTTGCCAAATTTAGATGCCACTTGACTTGTCTGAGATCCTCAGTCCTGAAACAACACAGAGTTGAGCCAAGTTGAATTAATTTACTTAGCATAATGAGGCCTCTTATTTCTACAGGGGGAAAATTAGAAATCATAAAACTCTTGAAGATTTTTAGACCTATTATACACACACACACACACACACACATATAACAGTTTGATGAGTTACACCTTACTGAGGGTTCGGAGAATTATGAGGAATTGAAGGGATGTTCATAGAGAGGGAATCCAAACTGCTAGCCTTTCCCTTCAACTCTAGCACATTACCTCGTGGAGTTCTGATCAAAGTGTTGTCCTAGGGCTGCTGCCATCAGTGTCACCTGGGAGCTTGTGAGAAATGCAAGTTCTCAGCCTTCCCAGAGGGGAGATTCCAGAACAAATGAATCCGAACCTCTGGGGGTACAGCCTAGGAATCTGTGTTTAACCAGCCTTCTGGATGATTCTTACACACGCTGAAGTTTGAGAAGCACTGCTCTGGTCCTCTGAGTTGCTTCGTGAGGCTGGCAAGATGCTAGTCTGGGCACAGAGAGCTTACCTTTGTTGTAGAGGGTTCCGTCAAAATAGTAGCTGCCTGTATAGAATCCAGTTGCGTGCTCGATGAGGTGCCGGGCCCATGTGTTTCCAGCTCCCGGGAAGCTTGACAAAGCCACAAATACTTTGGATTTGGTAGGCAGGAACTTCCGGTCTGTACAGCGAGTGTCTGAAAGTCCAGAAGTCACCCAAGTTTACTCACTTCCATTATGACTCACAGATTTGCAGCTGGAGTCCCCTAGACAGGAACTACTGGACCAAGACTCCGGTTTAATAGATGGGGGAACTGAGGCCCAAGGAGGGGAAAGGATCTTTCCCCTGCACATTGACTGCACAAGTTTGTGGCTAGCCAGAGAAAGCCTCAGTGACAAGGCCTCCTGTGCTTCAGGCAGCAGTGGGGTGGGAATTGGGCCCTGTGGACCCTCAGCCCCAGTTTTGTCTCCATGGCTACAGGCAAACCCTGAAAAAAAACCAAACTCACTGCTGTTGAGTGGATGCTGACTCACAGCAACCCCTCCTTAGGTTTCCGAGATGGTATTCCTTCTGAACAGGCATACCCCGGCTCTCCAAAATTCTACAGGGGAGGTGGGTGGGACTGTGGCTGACTTGAGCAATGCCACACATCCAACAGTGAACCAGGGCTGGACTAATTTTCCAATTAACTTCTCTGCATCTCATCTTCCTTCCCCCAGCACTGATGCAAAGAGCTCATGAAATCACAGGTAAACCCCTAAAGCACCCAGGGCTGTGTCTGGTCACAGCAGGGGGTTCATAAAGACTGGGTACATCTCTCTCCACCTGCTTTTTCTCTCATTAGTTCCTGAGGTCAGCTGGGCAGGCCTGACCTGACACCAAAGAGGAGGCCCAGGACCAACCACAGCCCAGGGGCTTAACCGGCCCAAGGTCCTGGTTGAGCTGAGACATGGAGGTTCCTGTTGCCGCAGGGCTCTGATTCCTCCCATTCTCTGTCTCTACTTGTGCGTCCATCCCTCACCACCCTGTCATCCCTCTAAACCCCACCTCTGTCTGCACTTCTCTTACCACGTGCAACCCCAGAGAGAGACTCAGATAAAAGGTCAGGTGCTCTTCAAACAGGGGAGGATGGAGGTCTCATCCTCTCCACTATCACCACCACCCACAATGATGCTGGGTTCTTTATGCAGACACAATACACATCCCTGTTTGCACACTCAGCCAAGATCAGCAGCTCCAAGTCCTGGAAGCTCCTCCCCAACCCCCAGGCCAAATGCCCCAAGTAACGGGGCTACATCTTGTCCACCTCTGGGAAGAGCTCACCTTGCACAGGTGTCTGGTAGACCTCGCAGTAACCCCCCAGCTGCTGTATCTCAGGCTCCTGGCTGCACAGTGAGCCATCCACTGCATCCCGCAGGTTGAACTGGGGTGTAGGGTAAGCACAGTAGCACTCCCAGCCCCTGAGGATAGCCAAGGGGAACTCCTGCCAGGGAAGGGGAAGAAGAGAAGAGAGCACCTTGGGTGAATGTGAGGACCACATCTTCCACAGATTAGGTATGGGATGAGCATGATGGGATATACTATCACAGGCGGCACAGGGGCAACAGGAATGACCGTCCATCCTTCCTTCACCTGGCTCCGTGCCCACACCCACGGGCGACAAAGCTCAACCAAACATGATTCCTGCCCTCAGCAGCTCACAGTTGGTCAGGCTGTCATGTAAACAGTCACAACACATGTGCGAAAGGTGTGGTGACAAAGCTAAGCCACTGGTATTTCAAATAACAGCATGGTGGACAGGTTTCAGCAAAGCTTCCAGAGTAAGAAAAACGAGGAAAAAAGGCCTTGCAATCAACTTTTGAGAACCAGCCAATAAAAATCCTACAAATCACAACAGAATATCATCTTATCTAGGACTGGCAGGTGAGCCATCTAGATTGAAGGGCACTCAAAACACACACTGGCCAACAATGGACTTGAGCATACCAATGATTATGAAGACAGTGGGCAACGTTTTGTTCTGTTGCACATCGGGTTGCCATGAGTTGGAGCTGACTTGACAGCAACTAAGAGCAAAAAGGCAATCAAATCCATTTTGCATATTTGTCATGAGGCCTGGCACACAGTAGGTGCTTTCACACAGTAGGTGCTTTCACAAAGGAACAGGCATTTTCAGCCTCCCTACCCACATGTGCATCACCCATAGCTCACTCAAATCTTCACTCACCTACCTACCCCATAGATAAATTTTGAGCACCTACTAAGTTTAAGTGCTTGGCTGCTAAGCCAAAAAGGTTCATGGTTCAAACCCACCCAGTGTCTCTGCAGGAGAAAAGACCTGGCAATGTGCTCCTGTGAAGATGACAGCCTAGAAAACCCTATGGGACATTCAACTCTGTCACATGGGTCTCTATGAATTGACTCTTTGTTACCCAACAACAACGTACCAAGCACCAGGCAGGCCATTACCCCATTTCATCTCTGCCCCTCCCTGCATCTTATAACTAGGAGGCCTACTGGCATGGAGAGAAGAATAAGCAATTTATGAGCAAATGTGTGCACACGGAGGAGGGAAGCAGTGGGAGGAGAAACCTTCTCACTGCTGAGGGAAACATTGCACAAACCTTTTTTATTTTTTTGCCTACAGCAAAAATCTCATAAATAAATAAATAAAAGGCGATCGATAGCATTTTCCGAGCGTGGCTTGGCAAAGCCGAGGCTCTTGGCACTCTGAAAAGACAATAGACGGCATCCCAGCCGAGAGAGGGCAGGCGCAGAACATGGGGGGGGTGGTGATCTAAGAGGAAGGGGGGTTGGAAGTGCAGCTGGAGACTGTCCTCCCCCCATGTCTGTCGTTCCTGTCAGCACAGGCCGGGTGCCCCCCAAATGCCCAGCAGCCCTCCGTGCAAGCCTATCCCACTATCCACATCCTTCTAGACTTCCAGGCTAGGAAATTTTACCAGGGCCCAGTTCCAGTTCTCATCTATAGTGCTGAGATGCTATGGGATGAGGAGGGAAGATCTTTTCATTATTTTCATACTACAATGTACACACACACACACACACACACACACACGCTGCATTAACTGCTTCTAGAACTCACAGGTCTCTTTTGCACTGTAAACAATCTTACATTCCATGGGACCACAAGCAAATCCTTTCCCTTTCTGGTTCCTCAGTTGCTCTTTCTGTAAAATGGACAGATTCCATGAGTCTGTCTGCCTGGAAGAGTCAGAAGATCTCATTTTTCTCTTGTCCTCCCACTAGCTTCCCCTGGACCTCTGTCAGCGGGACTGGGACATCTACTCCCATGCCTTCCCTGGAAGAGGCTTGAGACTAGCATTTCTCCAAGGATGAAGGATGCGGTAAAGAGATGCTCTGGGGCTCCACCAGCCACTCCTCGGAAGGAAGATGGGGCCATCTACTTCCGTAGTGATACTGCCTCGGAAACCCAAGGAGGGGTCGCTATGAGTCGGGGCCGACTCGACGGCACACAACAACAACAACAACAACAACATGGGTCTCCATGGGCTCTGGGTCCAGTAGGAGCAGGGAACAAGCACAGTGTGGCAAGACAAAGTGCCAGGTTTATAATCTAACAGACCTGGACTCAAATGCCAGTGCCACAGTGCAATAACCTGGAGTAAGTCACTGCTCCCCTCTGAGCCTTAGTCTTCTCATCTGTAATATGGGGTAATAATGTCTACCCCACAGAGTGCTGGGAGGATGAAGGGAGGGAAATGCATGTAAAGAGCCAGTCCATATAATAAGTGCTCACCTATTTATTCTCTTCCTTTCTGCAAAGATCCTTCATTGTCTTGGGAGCAGGCCCTGGGCCACTCTCCTAACACTGAGTACCCAAGAGTTTGTTTCCTAAAATCCCTCACCTTTGCCATCTTTGAGGCCCGAAAGTCAGATCAAGCAAAGGTCTCATGCCCCTCCCCCAATGACCATTCATGTTCCTTTTGTCTTCATCAACTACTTAAAGAGAATTGCTGTGAAGATTTAGCTGCCACAATAGGCTGTACCCCTGGTTCCAGCCACAGCTACAGTGACCCTCAGAGCCGCAGGGATGGTCACACTCAGGGCCACCATCCCAGAAGCCACTAGATTTGGGAGGAAGTGGACAAAAGGCTGATAAGCCCCATCAGTCTTTTCAGCTGGACTCCACCTCCCACAGACCCTCAGGCCCCTGCTCAGCAGGAAGCCAAATCTATGACTTGACCCGGGATCAGAATTCCACTGGCTTTTCCGGAAACAAGTTCCCCTGATGGTGTGAGTGAGTGGGAAGTGGTGAAGAGAACTGCAACCTCCGGCCTCTGCCATAACCATCCATGCCCTCCAATGAGCGCTCACTTGCCTCTTCAGACCAATGCTGTTGTCTCAGGATGGCAGAGACAAGCACGCAGGCTGTTCCTGCCGCAACGCAGACAGGACGCAGGAGTCTGTCTGTGTCACCAGCACTTCTGTCCAAATGGCTTTCTTGCTGTTCCATGAACCTCCGGGTTTTTGCGTCTGCTGTTCCCTATACCTGGAATGCTCATCCTCAAATATCCTCATGGCTCTCCCTTAGAGTCTTCAAGTCCTTTCCTCAGTAAAGCCTTCCCTGGCCACCTCATTTCCTGCTGCATCCTCCTCACCACCTTCACTGATACACCCTACCTCACTGCTGCCCTTAATTTTTTTTTTTTTAGTTGAAGTGTAATTTGAGATGCTCCAATCTTAAGTGGACTGTTCAATCAGTGTTGATGAATGTCTATTAAGACACACAGCATTCCCATCACACCCAGAACATCTCCTTGTGCCCTCCCGTCTAGCCCCCCCTCCCCCAAAGCAGCCACTACTCTGATGTCTATCACCAAGATTAGTTTTGTCTATTCCAGATATCACTACACTACCAGAGCTCCTAGGTATCATGCTTGGTAAAGTAGAAGGCCAGTGTAAAAGGGGAAGGCCCTCAACGAGATGGATTGACACAGTGGCTGCAATGATGGGCTCAGGTATAGCAGGGATCGTGAGGCTGGCACAGGACTGGGCAGTGCTTCATTCTGCTGTACCCAGAGTCGCTACGAGTTGGAGCTGACTTGATGGCACATAACAATAACAACAACAACAATCTAGACATCATATAAATGGAATCATACAGTATTATTTTTTTAATGCATTTTTTCTTTTTTTTTTTTGCAATGTTCCCTCCCCTCCCCTCTCACCCCTGGTGGTAACCAACAGAGAACGTTTCCTTCCATATATAAACCTTTCCTTGACTTTTTACAATAATGAACTAATACTATATTTGACCTTCTGTGATTGACTTATTTCACTCAGCATAATGTCCTCCAAGTTCATCCATGTTATGTGGTATTTTGCAGATTCTACAGTATTCTTTAGTGTTGGATAGAATTCTATTGTGTGTAATTACCACAGTTTGGTTATCCATTGTCTTATTGATGGGCACCTAGGTTGTTTCCATTTTTTGCTACTGTAAATAGTGCTGGGATGAACATGGATGTGCATATATCTGTTCTTGTCCTGGCTCTCACTTCTTTAGGATATATTCCTAATAATGGGGTTGCTGGGTCATATGGGATTTCTAATTCCAGCTTTTTAAGGAATCTCCACACTGCTTTCCACTGTGGTTGTTAGTGCCTATTTGTTTTTGTATCTGAAAAACAGATATTTTAAAATTCTTGTGTGTTTAGGTATCAGGATGTTGATGAGTCATGTTCCATCATGTGGATGGGTCACAGATGCTGGTCCTTTCATCTGCTGACAGACATCTGGCCCTTGTCCAGGGTTTACTTCTTATGAATAAAGTTGCTACGAACATTCTTATACAAGACTTTTAGTGTGTGAGTACTTTCATTTCTACTAGATAAATGCCTACGATCCTTGCTTCATTTTTCTCCATAACACTTTTGACTACCTGACATACTAGATATTTTACTTATTTATCTGGTTTGTAGTCTGTCTCTGTCCACCAGAATATAAGCAGTGATTTCTGAGTGTTCTGCTCATGGCGGTATCCTCAGTCCCTAGAACAGTGTCTGGCACATAGCAGATGCTCAATGAATGTTTGAGAGATGAGTAAATAAATAAATGAACCAACGGAAGTTCTTTCTAGATCCCGATTCCTCCAACAGCTGTTGGCAATGGCCTTGGGTATGGTCCTTCTGTTGGTCATCTGGTTGAGGGTAGCCCTGAGTGCAAGGCATAAGCCAGGGCTCCCAACATCAGGAACCCCAGGGGGCCTCTGCTGTCCTGGGGTTCCTTTTCAGAGGAAGAAAATTTCCGGAAGGAAAATCAAGACTTGCCTGCTCCGTCTCCCTTCCCAGCTGTAACAGTGTTGCGAAGCTGAGAACTCACAATCCTGTGTCCCCAGGCTAGGGGAGCAAGCTGTCCTCATCAGTGACCCAAACCTTTTTGCTTCCTTGAGTGGATTAAACTGTCAAGTTTCCGGGTGTTTGCAGAGCAACGGGAGAACTG